AAAAAAAAAAAAAAAAAAAAGAACATGGGTTGACGAGCTTCAGACTGTTATAAAATTCAGTATATACTGTATTCCTGTTATGTATTCAATAAGGACAGGAGAGATCTCCCTGAAGATCAGATGCCATCAGCCCACAAACAAACCCTGCAACAAGCTGGAGGTGGGATTCCCAGAAGTCGAAGGAACATTAAGTCTCCTTTTTTTTACTGTCAGACACAATCTAAGAAGAAATTCAAAAGACTGAGAAACTGATCAATTTTCTCCAAGAGAAACTGGAAATCACTGAAACATTATTTGAAGCATGAAATCAGACTAAGGCTAAAATAAAATTGGGAGCTGTGGGTTAATGCACTGGACTGCAAAGTAGTTTGAACTACAAAGTTGGCAGTTCAACCTCACCAGTCACTCAGAAACTCTATACAGGGTTGTTATGGGTTGGAATCCACTTGATGGTACTTAACAACAACACCAACAATCCAGGGATGTGGACTCTGGAAAAGGACCGGTTTAATTGCAGCAAAATAAAGGCTTTTTTTCCTACTTTTCTTTTTATATCAGAGTGATGGTGGTGGTTTTTAAGTGCCATCATAGCGACCCTCTTTGGGGTTTCTGAGGAGCGGCTGGTGAGTTTGAACCATTGACTTGACGATTCAAACTGACCTCGTGGTCCAATGCTTATCTGATAGTGCCACCCCAGGACTCCATTAGAGTGGTAGCATGAGCTAAGTTTACAAACCACCTACAGACAGTTGAGATTATATTATATACACAATTTGTACTCAGAACTAAAAATTGTTTGAAAACAGTGATCTTTATTGGCTACACAAATGAATGTCCAATAACATACTTAATCATTACTCTCCTATTGACTATTTAGATTTTAAATTTCTCAGTATTAAATCCCATTAATTGCTAGAGCCTTGTTGTTCACCACTGTCTTCAGTGCAGCTTGGGCCTCTTCACTCAGTATCATTGGTTGTTGATCATGGTACCTCTTGAAATGACTGAATATTGACTATTGAATAGTACGACAATTCTGTGTATTCCGTTTGCTTTTGATGCATCTGTATCATTCACTATCTTGCCCTTCAATATTGGAAGCTGAGGCCTGAATTTTTCCTTCAGTTCTTTCAGCTTGAAGAATGCTGAGTGTGTTTTTCCCTTTTCGTTTTTTAACTCCAGGTCTATGAATATTTAATTATAGTACATTGTCTTCTTCATCTGCTGTTTAAATTTTCTGTTCAGATATTTTACTTCATCAATTATTTTAGTTGTTTTAGCTTTTCTATGTTCAAGAGTAAGTTTCATAGTCTCTCATCTAACATCCACTTTGGTCTTTTGTTTCTTTCCTATCTTTTTAATGACCTTCTTGTATAATGTTCTTGGTGTCATTCCACAACTCCCCTGGTCTTTGGTCATTAGTGTCTAATGCATCAAATGTGTTCTTGAAGTGGTCTGTAAATTCAGGTGGGATGGACTCAAGCGTGGCAACAGTAGTGAGGTTGGCCCGGGATCGGGCAATGTTTCATTGTGCTGTGCATAAGGTCGCTATGAGTCGGTACCAACTCCATGGCACCTACCAACAACAATAATCAAAGTCTGTAAATTCAGGTGGGAGTCCGGTGTGGGGCTGTGGGCTAATGTGCTGGACTACAAGATGGGTTTGAACCACAAGATTGGTGGTTCAAATTCACCAGCTGCTCCTTAGAAACCCTATATAGTGTCACTATGAGTTGGAACTGACTCAGTGGCACTTAACAACAACAATGACAACATGCTCAAGGATATATTTTGGCTCTCGTGGACTTGTTTTAATTTCATTTAGGTTCAGTCTGAACTTATATATATGAGCAATTGATGGTCTGTTCCAGTAAGTCCCTTAGGCTTGTTTTGGCTGCCAGAAGAACCAACACATCTTGTCTTGGAGAAAATACAGCCAGAAAGCTCCTTAGAAGCAAGGAGTCTCTCGGTCTTTAGACATGTTGTCAGGAGGGTCCAGTCCCTGGATAAGAGCATCATATTGGTAAAGTGGAGTGTCGGTAAACAAGAGGAAGACCCTCAAGGAAATGGAATGGCATGGTTGCAGCAACAATGGACTTGAACATGACAATTGTGAGGATGGCGCAGCACTGAGAAGTGTTTTGTTCTGTTGTACATAGGGTCACTGAGTCGGAACCGACTGGAGGACACCCAACAATAATAGCAACAGTATTAAAATAAGTTATGTGATAGACTTGTTTTTACATAATTTCCTGTATATTATTTGAGTAGACTTCTATAGTCTAGAATTTGAACAACAGTACTCTGATCCAGATACAAGGGAAAGTTCTGTGTGCAGATTCTGTAAGTTTATTACAGATTCTATAAAATAATGGACAACAGAGTGAATATATCCAAGAACAAGTGCTGGGTGAAAGAAACTACGGTATATATAAACCAATCAAACCCACTGCCTTCAAATTGGCTTAGAGTCACAGCAACACTTCATAGGGTTCTGAGACTATAACCTTCTGGGGAGCAAACAACCTCATCTTTTTCCTGAAGAGCAGCACCATCAGAGTGTAACATTATAGTATATGTGGTGGTAGTGGTGGTGTTAAGTGCCCTCATGTCAATTCCAACTTATAGAGACCCTGTGTAGGGTTTCTGAGGAAGCAGCTGGTGGGTTTGAACTACAGACCTTGTTGTTAGCAGTCTACTGCTTTTCCAATAGTGCTACACGAAGGCTTCATAGTATATACAGTTATTGGAAATTTGTGTAACCTTTTAAAAAGTTGTTAATGGAAAACAACAACAACAAAAAAATGAGGAAATTATTTGATGGAATTTCATTGTTCAGTGAAGAATTAAGGATATATTATTTACATAGTATGGTCACAGCTTCATCATTTAAAAATAATATAGTATTTGAAAATATGAACCAAAATTCTATTTGATATCTGTTACCTTATTAGAGAAAAGAATTATAGTTGTGTTTTATATATGTTGTTAAGCTGCTGAGTCGGTTCCCACCGATAGCGACCAACCCTATACAGGGTTTCCGAGGCTGTAAATCTTTACGGGAGCAGAAAGCCTCATCGTTCTCCGGCGGAGCGGCTGGTAGTTTCGAACTGCTGACCTTACGGTTCGCAGCCCGATTTGTAACCACTATGCTATAAAGACAAGAGTCCTGGTGCGGCAGTGCAGCACTGCAAGGTGGTTGTGAACCTGAAGGTCAGTGGTTCAGGCTCACCAGCTGCTCTTTGGAAACCCTACACAGGGTCGCTATGAGTCTGAACTGACATAACAACAACAACATATAAAGTCTATCCCTTCATATGCCAGCCTTCCTTATAATTTAAACACTGACCTTGTGTATATCACTGTCATTCATAAGACAGAGGCCATGAAGTGCAAATCTTAAAGGAAAAGTATGCTTTTTCGAGGAGAGCTCAGACACCGCAAAAATATTCACACCAAATAAAGTAAAATACACTGCAAATTTTTCGGGCGTATTTAGTACCAGATCTGGTAGCGTAGTGGTTACGAATCGGGCTGTGAACCTTAAGGTCAGCAGTTCGAAACTACCAGCTGCTCCGCGGGAGAAAGATGAGGCTTTCTACTCCCGTAAAGATTTACACCCTCGGAAACCCTGTACAGGGTTGCTATCGGTCGGAACCGACTCGACGGCACTTAACAACAACAATAACACACAGGGTCGGAACCGACTCGACGGCACTTAACAACAACAATAACACACAGAGTACTGGTGTGGTTAATGCGCTAGACTGCAAGGTTGGTTTCAACTGCATAGTCAGCAGTTCAAGCTACCAGCCACTCCTTAGAAACCCTATACAGGGTCTCTATGAGTCGGTATCTACTCAACAACACAGAGAACCTAAAAATCTAGGATGTTTTCGCCCACCCCACAGCTTCACTTGCCCCTCCTCCCTCCCCCCCCCTCCTCCCTTTTTCTCTTCTCCTCCCCTCTCCCCTTCCCTCTCCTCCCCTTTGCGGTCTCGCACTTCCTCTCCTTCCACCGCACTCCCGCCCATCGATGAGGTCAGGCGGGCGCGCAGCCGCAGTAGCTTCCGTGGCCGCTCCTAACCATTGGGATCCTGGGAGTCAGTCTTTCCGGAAGGACGGGCTCGGCGTCCAGGGTAGGCCGGAGTTCCAGGCCCAGGCCTAACTCCGTGTTCTAGGCCCCGGCTCCAGGACGGGCCCGTGACCACGGCGACACGCTGGTGACAGCGGAGGACGCAGCGGGCCGCTCGTGGAAGAGCCTGGGCTCGCTGCGGAGCCGCGGTACGTGGCGGCGCCTCCCCCTTGGCTGGGAGCGGAACTGCGGAAGGAAGGAGCGGCCTCTCAGGCCTGACGAGGTGAGCCAGGTCATTTAACTGGCTTAGGTGATGACTCATCTGCATAATAATCAGATTTGAAGTCCACAGCCCTTTGTGGTCCCAGGAACGGTTTTCTGTGCATGACTGACGGGTGTGCCCTGAAGGGCCTCACAGTGACTGCTAACCCTCGTTAAGGAAAGCAAGCTCGCCTGCTCTCTGGATGTCCTCTTTTCCTTTTTAACAATCCGTTTGTTAATCTCTTTCTCCAGCATACATCTTTCTGGGCAAGAGGAAGGTTTTCCCATGAAAGTGTCGCTTGGTAACGGCGAAATGGGCGTCTCTGCCCATTTGCAACCTTGCAAGGCAGGAACCACGCGCTTTTTCACCAGCAATACTCACAGTTCGGTGGTGTTGCAAGGGTTTGATCAGCTGAGGATAGAAGGGTTGCTCTGCGATGTGACCCTGGTACCAGGGGACGGCGATGAGATCTTTCCTGTTCACAGAGCGATGATGGCCTCTGCTAGTGATTATTTCAAAGCCATGTTCACAGGGGGCATGAAGGAACAGGACTTAATGTGCATTAAGCTTCACGGGGTGAACAAGGTTGGTCTGAAGAAAATCATTGATTTTATTTATACTGCAAAACTCTCTCTGAATATGGACAGTCTGCAGGACACGCTGGAAGCTGCCAGCTTTTTACAGATTTTGCCTGTTTTGGACTTCTGCAAAGTGTTTCTTATATCGGGGGTCTCTTTGGATAACTGTGTTGAGGTTGGACGGATTGCAAACACCTATAATCTTATAGAAGTAGACAAATATGTTAATAATTTCATTCTGAAGAATTTCCCTGCATTGTTAAGTACTGGAGAGTTCCTCAAACTCCCTTTTGAACGGCTGGCCTTTGTGCTTTCCAGTAATAGTCTTAAGCACTGTACTGAACTTGAACTCTTCAAGGCTGCTTGTCGCTGGCTGAGGTTGGAAGACCCTCGGATGGATTATGCTGCAAAATTAATGAAGAACATTCGATTTCCACTGATGTCACCCCAGGACCTCATCAATTACGTGCAGACTGTGGATTTCATGCGAACGGACAATACCTGTGTGAATTTGCTCTTGGAAGCTAGCAATTACCAGATGATGCCGTATATGCAGCCAGTGATGCAGTCAGACAGAACAGCCATTCGATCAGACTCGACTCACTTGGTTACATTAGGAGGAGTTTTGAGGCAGCAGCTGGTTGTCAGTAAAGAACTAAGAATGTATGATGAAAGGGCACAAGAGTGGAAATCTTTAGCCCCCATGGATGCTCCTCGTTACCAGCATGGCATTGCAGTCATTGGAAACTTTCTTTATGTAGTTGGTGGTCAAAGCAATTACGATACGAAAGGAAAAACCGCCGTTGATACAGTGTTTAGATTTGATCCTCGGTATAATAAATGGATGCAAGTTGCATCATTAAATGAAAAGCGCACGTTCTTCCACTTGAGTGCCCTCAAGGGACATTTGTATGCAGTTGGTGGACGCAGTGCAGCTGGTGAACTGGCCACAGTAGAATGCTACAACCCAAGAACAAATGAGTGGAGCTATGTTGCAAAAATGAGTGAACCCCACTATGGCCATGCTGGAACAGTGTATGGAGGCTTAATGTACATTTCAGGAGGAATTACTCATGACACTTTCCAGAATGAGCTCATGTGCTTTGACCCTGATACAGACAAATGGACCCAAAAAGCTCCAATGACTACAGTGAGAGGTTTGCATTGCATGTGTACAGTTGGAGACAAACTCTATGTCATTGGTGGCAATCACTTCAGGGGAACAAGTGATTATGATGATGTTCTAAGCTGTGAATACTATTCACCTACTCTTGACCAGTGGACACCAATTGCAGCCATGTTAAGAGGTCAAAGTGATGTTGGAGTTGCTGTTTTTGAAAATAAAATCTATGTTGTTGGTGGGTATTCTTGGAATAATCGTTGTATGGTAGAAATTGTCCAGAAATACGACCCAGAGAAAGATGAGTGGCACAAAGTTTTTGACCTCCCAGAGTCACTTGGGGGCATTCGAGCTTGTACCCTTACAGTTTTTCCACCTGAAGAAAATCCTGGGTCTCCTTCTAGAGAATCGCCTCTGTCAGCACCTTCAGATCATTCCTAGGACTAAGGTATACTACCTTTGCAGTGCATCATGGGTGGTCTCATATATTTCCTTGGGTTGTATCTCTTACCATGATTGGTACAGTTTAGACAAAAAGGTAATGTCATTCTTGTTGTTTGGCTTAGTTTATCAAATGACTAACAAATACATTCTGAAAATGTATTCCACTTAGCCAGCTGTTTTAACAAATGACAGAAGATGTGTAGAAAATATTTAAATTAGATGTCTTTGTGTGTTACACAATTAGATGTATTGTGTAAGTCAAATTGGAGGTGATTGTACTAAGTATAATTATGTTCATTATGCTTCAAAGTTGAAAGTTTCTTTTCATCTTTGACTGCAGAACATCAGAGAGGCAGCCTGTTGCAATCTAAAGTAAAAAACAAACAAAAGGTTGCCAAATATTAGTTATTGCCTTCTTAGAGTTTTTTACTTAACTCAGCAGATGTGATTCAACTCTGACATTTTTTAGGAAAATGTGAGAAATTATAAATTCAGAAATTTATCTTGAAAAACTGTTAAAGCTCTAAGTCAGGGTTTGATACCTCTCACTCAACAGAGAAAATACAAACACACATATTTTGTACTTCAACTATATGTGAAATGGTTTTTATATTTAAATTTCCTCCCACAAATCAGCTATCTCTATTTAATTGGGAATTCAGTACCAGAGAATAAATGTCCAGATAGTCAGACTGAATTTAGATAGGTAAGGGCTACAACACATTAAATTGATGACCAAATTGGTCATTTGACTAAATTGTTACATCACATGAAACTTCAGTTACTTTTCTGCTTTGCTGTTGAAGTAACCTTTATATTACTTGTTCTATGTAGAGATGCTTTTATTCAGGTTTTGTTTGTTTTTGTGGGTTTTTTTTTTACCAAAATTTGCATTTCAAAGAATTCATTTTACTCAATTTAGTTTTCCCTATTTTTTACCTTTTTGTTCAGCAAAACATATGATATGGAAAAAGTAAAGTCATATGCTGAACAAAGTTAAAGTTAAGGTCATTCTTCCGATTCAGCAAGCCTAAACATATTGGGATTGTTTTGTGATTTGGGATGATTGCCCTGGTGCTGCTCCAGCTCATGAACATCCTGAGAACTGTGTGGGACCTGCCTCAAAGCTGTATCTGAGCTAGCAGGGGATGAACTCTCTGCAACAAATCAGAAAAGTGTCCTTTCAGCCATGTCTAAAGGACAGGACCAACATCAGATTCCTTAAGAAGCCAGTCGTAGAAAGCCTAGGTTACTGCTATCTTGCAAGCAGTACCTAAAGCAGATTTCTAGCCAAAGGGCTTCCCCACTGGTTGAGGGTAGCTCTTAATATGATCTTATCAACAGATGGAATAAGAGGAGTCCTCAGCAGTGAGTGATTATAAAGTACTTCCTTGGGACATATATATATATATGTGTGTGTGTGTGTGTGTGTACATATATATGTATACACATGCATATACACATGCATGTATGTATATCCCTGTACTTAAGAGATTGTCAGAGTGTAAATCAGTAATACTTTTCTCTGTTGACAATCCCGTAATAAAACTCAGGAACCAAGGCAAAAGGACTTGGCTTCCAGGGATCTGAACTTTACTGTCCATACAAGTGTTGATTCATTTGAATGCTTTTTAGGATTTCTGCATTGGCAGAAATTCTCATACTGTTTTTTTTAAAACTGACTTTTTTATTACTAAAAATCACAATTTGAGTACAATTAGAAAATAGAAGATAGAAATTGCTCTTAACTTTGTGTGTTAAATAAACAACAAGTGTACCCGTATCATTTTCTTGACTAGTAAGGTTGAATATTGTGTATTTTGTGTGGTTGTGTTTCCTTTGATCTAATGTTCATGTCCTTTGCTCATGTGATACCTATTAGAATCACTCTGTTTTCATACCAAATTATAGGATCTGTTTATATAACAAATAAAAAGGTAATTGACATTTGCTTGTATTGATTTTTTTTTCCTTTGCTAAAATTTTACAATGGCAGAGCTATTCAGCTATTTTTAGGAGATTATGTTTTTTCCTCTTTTTGCATTTTGATATCTGTGTTACATTTGCAGTGACATTGTTGTTAAGTGCCATCTAGTCAGTTCCAATTTACAGTAATCCTGTATAGGATTTCCCAGGTGCGGCTGGTAGGTTTGAACTACTGATTTTGCAGTTAGCAGTCCAGTGCTTATCCTGTAGCACCACACTAGGACTCTTGATGCTATGGAATGGTGCCTTTATTCTAGACATTAATTTGGCATCAAGTTAATTCCGACTCATAGTGACCATGTTTAGGGTTTCCGAGGAGCACTGCTGCTGGTGGATTTGAACTGCCAACCTGTGGTTCAAACCGACCTTGCGGTCCAGTACTTACCCTACAGTGTCACAGCAGGACTCCTAGACTTTGAAAGACTAATGCATCAGTACTATGTATTCTTTACACAATACTGATATATTACTCTTTGACTGTTTATTATGACTGACATGCCAGGCTTTGTGCTCCCATAAATATTTACAGTGTCAGAAACCCCACACAAGGTCACTATGAGTCATAGAATTGACTTGATGACAGGGAGTTGAGTTGACAGAACGTTTCTACTTTCTGGTTGACTCTGTAATTAAATATCACTTTACTAGCTACCTATTTCACCTATAGACCCCACCTCCTGCCTCATACACCACATCCATCCTTTTGCGCTTCAGTGTTTTGCAGTTGACAGTTTTCTTGACAAGAATACGAACAACTGATGGATGTTACGCTGATACCACTCCTACTCCTTGGAATTCCTTTCTTATAGATGGATATCTTTGAGATGCTTGACTTGAAAGGAATTTGTTCAGATAAAGCTAGTAATTGCTTAAATTTCAGACTGTGGAAAAATACTTAAAATGGTTGAAAAACTTTAAGCAGAAAGGCTAATTTAACATTTTGTTTTAATTTTTTGTGCATCGAAAGATTAACATTTTGTTAGCTTTTCTGATTATGAAAATACTTTTGCAGAAAGTATGGGAAAACCAGAACAAACCATTTATCAATGATTTGACATGCCTAGGATGACTTCTATTAATACTGGGTACATTATAATATGCATATGTACACACATTTGTCAAAAAATTTTTTCAGAACATCAGAGACACTAAACTAAAAGCTGGATACAAAGAAATAGCAAATCCAGTTTCCAAGATTGATTGCTATCATGACCTTTCCTCTAATTTTTTTTTTAAAATCTATATGTAATAGAAAATAATATATAAAAAAGTGCCCCCTTCTTAAGAAAAATACTCTGTTCTTACTTAAATTCAGACCTAATTCTTCCCACTCGCTAACAGTACTCTATGGAACTTGGTGACTCTAGGATAAGCACTGAACTGCTGAACCATAAGGTCAGGTTGGCAGTCTAAGCCTACCACCTGCTCTGCAGGAGAAAAATGAGGCTTTCTACTCCCACAAAATTTTACAGCTACAGATACAGGGTACCTATGAGTCAGAACCAATTTGACAGCAATTAACAATAATAAGTATTTTTATAATTTACTTTTAAAGCAAACACATTCAATCATGACTGGTTTGTAATTAAAAGTGTTTTGTTCTGATTATAAAGACAAAATATGCTCCTACAGAACATTTTAAAACCACAGAAACAACATAAAGAGAATTAGAACTCTTGTCCTACCCATCAGCTTGTTCTGAGTCTGATTCCCAGCTCAACCGGTTGTTGTTGTTTTTTTTTCTTAAATGATTTATTGTGAATTATGTGACAGTTTACATGGGAGAACATTAGTTTTACATTCAT